AAAAATGTTAAAAAAGAAACAGGCAGTGAAACTAAACAGAAACAGAGAGGACAGTTCAGACAACAGTGATTCACATGTATCGGAAAGAAAATGTGTTTCCTGGAATGCTGTTTTGATTTTTCTCCCTTTCATGTTTCCTGATCTTTCTTCCAGATTTTGGTCTTGTGGTTTCCTTTAGCCCCTCTGGGCCACCGCAGAAAAACACCCCCGTCTGACTCTTTTCGTCTCAACGTGACAGTCATGCCAAATGATGGAGACGATGAATGCCTTCGTGTCTCCTAGCTACTCGTGAATCATTACGCCCGAGCAACAGAGACGGGATGAGGGCAGACTGGCATGCGGCGCTCATTATTAGTCGTGCTAATTAAATGAGTGACTCTTTTTCTGTCTGTAAGTTTATCAGAAGCAGAGGGAAACAATTCCAAATGGTACAAAAGGAGTTTAGGATGATGGTGATGATTTATTTACATACATACAGTTTTCTTGAACCATAATTTTACTCACAACAGAGCAAATTAATCAAACTGAATATTGAAAATGCGAATTTTTAACAGTTTGTTGAAAAATATTATATTATATTATGTCTTCTAATAGCTTCTGTCCAGCTGTCCTGTGATGTATTGATTGTATTTTAAATTTCGGTCCAGAACCTGGACCCTTGTACTTTAAAACGTTGTTCAAATATGTATAAATGTGGTTTAAAAAGAAACATCCCTTCTTCCATACCCGCTTATTCCATTTAGGATTGTGTGGGGGGACGCTCAGTGAGAGTGACAGGGATGTGCCCGGCTTCCGGTTTAACCCCGGACAGGTTAAACGCATGGCAGGGCTGCACAGAGACAACCAACCACCCACACTCACTCCCACAGTCAATTCGGAGTAATCTTTTCAGCCAATCGGGATTCTTCTTGTGTTATGTGCTATAGGACAAACTATTCTGCCCATCTTTACAACTGAGAGTCTCTGCTTCTCTAAGGTGCTCTTTACCTGCTCATGTTACTGACTTGTTGCCACTAAACCTGGTAGATTGTGATTATTCTCCAGATTCTTAATTTCAGGAACACATTTTCTCCAAAAGGTTTGATTCTAATTCAAGATGAGCTGGTGTTTATGTGTCACTCTCAGTATTTGACGTTTAGATTTTTAATAACGGTTTGCAAAGAACTTCATCCTGTTTTTAGGGACATATCGGATTTAATAATGTTTGACAAGTCTTAAAGATACATGGTCACTCTTTGATATGACAACAAGCAACTTAATATTAACACAAAAAGATACACAACTGGATAGATTCTTCCACTTATCTTTGTGTTTCTGCTCGCATTTCCTCCCTTTACAGTGTGACTGAGTGTAAAAAAAAGGGAACCGATCCGACCATCTTCCACCTCTGCCCGGTAACAGCGACGTCATGACATCTGATTGGCTGCTCAGCGGCTTGCTGTTAAAGTTTCCTGCTGCTGAGTGAATTCAGACCTGCGGCCTGTGAGGATGTCTGCCATCGCACTGTGTGTGCTCACCGCAGCCGTGTGTGCGTCTGCCACATGTGAGTTTTTACCACTGTCTTTTCTCTGGGTGTTTGTTGGGAAGGGGACCTGGCTGAGAGCTGATCCGTCAAATGTTTGCTGCTTAACTTCTTGCAGAAACGCCAGTCATAAGATTATAGCTTGTCAAAATACATATATATATATTTAATTTTTTTTTTAATCCACAGATCCTAACAAAAAAAATGCTAAACTGGTTGGTTTCAAAACTATTTCGTGAGGCAATCAAATCAGAGTGAGATGCAATTTGTGAACATTCAAGATAGAATAAAAAGGACCTTTGATTTGTGTGCACAGAGAGGAAATGTGCAAAACAGCAGCCCAGTATAGAAAATGTTACTTCCTGACAAAAATGAGGAAGTTTGAATGCTACCAGTTCTTCTAAAATGCACTATTTAAAAGAAATAAACATGAACAAATATTTGATCAGTCAGCCTTTTTAAAGATGACGTTTAAAAACAAGGCATATGAAATAAAAAGACCCGTCCAGATTAAATGTATTGCTCTCTTTCCATCATATAATAATGTTCCATCTCCTTTTCAGCACCAGGCCACGAGTTCCACTTCAGCTACGGGTGCTACCAGTCCGGAGAGGTGCGGGTGGACATCGTGGTGGACGACGACGTGGTCGGATATGCAGATTTCACAAAGAAGGAGATGGTGTGGGCGATACCTCAGCTGCCTGAGTTTGCAGAACAATTTGAGAAGCGGGCCTATGAGTTTGCAGAGAGCAGCATCGCACGCTGTCACAGCGTTTTGGACAAAGCCAAAGCGGCCGATCCTGGCGCCCCCTTGAGACGAGGTACTGGACCCGGTTTGATGCATCTTAACCCTCCAGAGAGGAGGACGTGAACAGGGTTACTCCCTACAGCCATAAATTCAGTTGGTTGATCAAACAAATCTTTAATGATCTAGACTAAATCAGGTTCTGCCATCCTCATTTGACCACTACAGAAAAATCTAACATGGCCATAAAAGATTTAATTCCCCAAATGATGATACATAATAACAATAAATCTAAATTTTAACTTTTTTTTTAAATCACTGAGTAAAAATAAGCCTGTTTTTAATGTAGAAAGTACAAATGTGAAGCTCCCAGAGGTGGAGAACAAAAAAAATCTATAATCTTTCCTTATAATTAGAGTTACAAATGATCAGCAGTTTGTTTTCCTAAACTTTTATCATATGTGGAAAACATGATATTGAGTTTATCTCAAATGTAGCTTCACTCCGCTCCTCAATATGGCTTTAAAATGTGGAAATTGTCTACCGATCTTGGTAGTAAAAGTAAGAAAAAAGAGAAAAAGATCCAAAGTAAAAGTGAATGTGCTGGTATTCATGCTTGGATGGCTTTGAGGAGCCTTCTTTTAATTTTCCTTTCATAAAATATTATCTTTCAAAAAAAAAAAAAAAAAAAAAAAAAAAAAAAAAAGGTGTTCTCTTCTTCAGCTAGCTGTTTAACGACAGCTGCCATTTAGACGTAGCAGGTTATTTCCCTCCAGTAGAAACCGTCCGGGTTGAATTAGGACTGTTGACGATGCGTCACCGAACACAAGCTGGAACTTTGCAGAATAGGTCGAAGTAAAGGGTCTGAGGGAAAGGGACTCATATTCTTTGTGACATACTTCCCCTCACGAGCCGAAATAACGTTGGTCGAAGGTACAAAAAGTGCAAGAAACCCCTCCGGTAAAAACTGACACGTCCTCCTGGACCATAAAGGTTAAAAGAAAACCGCCTCCGGCCCCTTTAGCAAAGGTCTGAAGAAGAATCTAAAAAGACAACGGGGGAATAACTTAAGAGATGAGTTTAAAAATAACTTGATAAGGTCGTATGCAATCTACTCACTGAACAGAAAGAGCCCACGGAAACACGGTGCCTCTTCTGGAGCTGCTGGATTTGACTGAATCCGATCAAAATCGGATTGTTTCACACATATTGAATTTAGTTTACCTCACACTTGTCAAGAGGGTGGATCTTGGAGGGAGGATTCAGTCGCGGAGATATGGAAACAAGGGTTTATTTTAACAAAAACACACTCAAATGGAGTGGATGGTAGACATGGGACAAAAACAAGGCTGTGGCAAAACTATGAACAAAGTAACAAAGCAAAATTACATGACTGTGAAAAAACATGGCTGTGACAAAAACAAGGCTGTGACAAAAACAAAGCTGTGACAAAAACAAGGCTCTGACAAAAACAAGGCTGTGACAAAAACATGAACAAAGTATCAAATAAGGTAAAGAAGGCTATGGCAAAAACATGGCTATGGTACAAAAACAAGACTATGGCAATAAAGTAAACTAGGCTGTGACAAAATCAAACCTGACGTGGGGTGACGAAAACAGACAGACGAAAACGCACTGGCACAGGACATGGGAAACAAGGACTATTTAAACACATGAGGGAGGGGAACCCCAGGTGTAAACAATAGGTAATCAAGACATGACGAGATACCAGAAATTCCCCCAGACGTGACAACACTTTTGTTTATGGCTTATAAACAGGATGGGATTTGGTCTTTTGGTTTCCATGAGATCCACTGTGAAGGGACAAAAACATTTAGGGTTATGAGCTGATCTCTAAATATTAAACTAATTACCATTAGTTCAAAACATTACTAAATGACATCTCTAAAAATCCAGTCCAAATGAGCTTCATCTCTGCTTGGGATTATTTACATTTATTGTTTGGATGTTGTCTTATCTGTCGGCCATTTTGAGGGCCCTTTGGATGATAAGGTACCGGCTGACCTTCTGCTTTTTTTCCTGACCAGAGGCTCCTAAAGTCTCCGTCTACACCCGGTATGAGGTGGAAGGGGGTGTGGTCAACTGCTGGATTTGACTGAATCTGATCAAAATCGGATTGTTTCACACACATTGAGTTTAGTTTGCCTCACACTTTTGTTTATGCATGGCTTATAAACATGAGATCCACTGCAAAGGGACAAAAACATTTAGGGTTATGAGATGATCTCTAAATATTAAACTAATTACCATTTATTCAAAACATTACTAAATCACACCTCTAAAAATCCAGTCTAAATGAGCTTCATCTCTGCTTTGTATCAGTTGAATTTACAGTGGGGGAAATAAATATTTGACCCCTTGGTGATTTTGCAGGTTTGCCCACTTACAAAGAATGCAACGATCTATAACGTTAATCATATGTACATTCTAACAGTGAAAGACAGAATCCCAAAGAAAATTCCAGAAAATCACATCATATGAATTTATAAAAATGTATAACCATCTGATGAGGAAAAATAAGCATTCTTTGTAAGTGGGCAAACCTGCAAAATCAGCAAGGGGTCAAATACTTATTTCCCCCACTGTATATTTTTTGCATGTTATATTGTCTGTCGGCCATCTTGAGGGCCCTTTGGATGAGAAGGTACCGGCTGATCTTTGCTCTGTTTCCTGACCAGAGGCTCCAGAGGTCTCCATCTACACGCGGTATGAGGTGGAAGGGGGCGTGGTCAACACCCTCTTCTGCCTCGCCAGCCGCTTCTACCCCCCCGCCATCAACTTTACGTGGGAAAGGAACGGCGTGGAGGTCTCAGAGGGGGCGTCCGCTCTGCGCTACCGTCACAACGCAGACGGGAGCTTCCACAGGATTTCCACGCTGGAAGTCACCCCTCAGGAGGGGGACGTCTACTCCTGCAGGGTGGACCACGAGGCGTCGGGACAACCCGCCGTCCAGTCCTGGGGTGAGAGGCCTGTCTTTTATAGGCCGTGATCTAGTTAAACTGACCCACGACGAACAGGTGAGAGGATGCAAAAAGGAGGCCCAACCAGTCAGGTGCAGCACACCGGAAGTTCTGCTGCGTCTGAGTATTCAGAGAAATGAGTGGATCAGTCTGACCGGAATCTATAGAACACGTCTTCAGGTTTCAGCGTATCTCAGCAATTCGCACGGTTGAGGCTTTCAGTTTGTGAGTTTCTTTTTAAACGTCTGGGATCAGGTTTGAGTCAGACCCGTGTTCGTTTCTTCCTTTGAATAAAGGCCGCTACTGCCAAAAGAAAGAGAAGAAATATGGTATTCTGATTTATTCTTGATTATCTTACAAAGCCTGTGTGTTTGACTGTTTTCATTCTTGATTAAAGCAGAAAAATAATAAAAAAACAGATAGACCTTTGACACGGCAGCCCACAGGATGTGTCACTAGAAATAAAAGAGATTCTGCCCCATCATTACAATTCAATCTTTCCTTATTGCTACGGCTTTTAACTCCACAATATTTAAAGATAGAAAAACCTTTGGCTTTGCAGAAACTCTTTGTCCTAACATGAAAATATGTCTTGCTTGATTCACAGAGCTGAAGGAAAAGGGAAGAAGTTCTGCCGCCGTGTTCTTTACCTCAAGCCTCGTTCTGAGTCTGATGGGCATCGGGACCGGAGTCCTATTTCTAATCAAGAAGCCTCATTAATGCCTTCCACTGGAGCAGCAAATATTTACATTGTTTCCAGATGTTTTTTTGTCTGTGGAATTCTTGTATACTCCCTGTAGCTCCAGATGTCCGAGCATTAACAATGATACATCATGATTAGGCAAAAATGTTATTTTCATCCGCATGGACACAGATGGGGAGTCAGAAATTTCAGATTACAAACTTTGATGTGGTTATTCTCATGAGCACCAACATCATCAAATTGCCATAAAACTGAGACTCTTCCTGAATAATCACAAAACTATGTTAATGTTGATGCTTCAGGTTTAAAATTTGAATTTGAAGGTGTTATTACTACCGGGAAGAGGAATTTACGTTGTTTAGATGTGATCAACAGAACATTACATAATGGTAAATTATGGAAATTATGTTAATTCAGGAGATTACGCTTCAGCACTTATTGCTATTGTGAAGCAAGAACTGGGGTGCCAGGATCATTATTACCAGAGGATGTTCAGTAGGGGATACAGTTTCATTTCTTTAATAATTACAATTAAAGAAAACAGAATGTGATACTAATTTCAAAAATACTTTTTTCAATTTATTTATGATTTTGGGTGATTTAAACTATCATTCACTGTTCGGTTGATTGCTTTTAAAAAGTGAGGAAACTTGAGGAAAACAAATAAAGAACATTTAGTGAGAGTTCAACCCACATAAATATACCTTTACTAAACTTTTAAATGACATTCTGGCCTACATTGTAGTTTATTGTGAGATCCTTACACTTTTAGGCCATAAAGGAATATATTTTTCCTATATCTCTCAATTTTAATAGTCTTGTCTGACCAAGATCACAAGTTTTAATAACTCATCCCAAACATTTTAAACAAAACACGTAGTAAATTGTAAGCCCCCCAAAAATTAGTTTTTCTCAGATGTTGGAAAAAGAAGTAAGACATTAAATGTTTTATGTTGTAAATATTTATACATTTTATTTTGAAGATTTTGATTGATATTTTAAGATTATTCTTTTCGAAATGTTGTTGTTGTTTCCATAGACATATATACGTCATACGTATACTATGTCCCCTGCGCGAGTGTTACAGCTATTGTTGTCCCCCTATTTCCTTCTCTCGCCGTTCGTTCCACAACACGCATGTTTCCAGTTTTATCGACCAGTCCGCTAATATCGATGACATGAGTGCCGAAAATTGCGATGTAAATTTGACTGTGCCTTTGCGGAATGTACTGAACTCCATTCAGTGTATTAGAGACCGAGTACGAGGTAAATACGACAAATTACTTGTTGCGTAGGGTTCCGAATAACCATTTAGCTCCACATGCTAGCATGTTTGTCAAGCTAGCATTAACTTTAGCATTAATTGTATTTGTTGTTGGTACTGTCTAAACATTGGTCTACAATACACAGTCAGTGACGTGTTTGATTTTTTACTTGACTTTCAGTCTTTACAATCACATTTTCTTTTGAATATCTTTAAAATTACTTCACAATCTCACGAGTCTTAGCTCTATGTTAGCAGGGAAGAATAACCAGCTAGAACATGTTTACAACATTTTCTGAATATTCTCAAATGCAAACAAGTCTCAAATGCTGCTTTTTAGACAGCAAAAACAACCCAAGTGCGTATGAAAGTGTGTATTTGCTTCATCTAGTGTGTAAATAAAACTACTCCACCAGTTTTTCCTACATTGAGCTATGATCTTGGCTAAGCAAAACAGTTTAAAGTACTCATAGAAAGTACCACAATATTTACTTTTGTCCTTTAATATTAGGACTCTTGCAACAGTTTTGATCTCTTGCTTTTAACATTTAGGCATATATAATTATTTGTTCATGCATAAAATACTATGTAACTTTTCTTAAAGAGTTTAAACTGATACAAGCCAGGATGCTGGGATTACTTCTAACTGAATGCTAACTTTCCATTTTAGATGGAGAATCAAACGCATCAGATGGAGCCTTTAACTTGTCCAACTTCTGGGACACTTTGAGTTGAGTATCTTAGATTATTTTTATTTATTTTTATTTTTTCAGTCAGAAAGACAGAAGAGAAAAAACAGTTTACAAGCCTTTAATGATACTGTGTGTAATCGTGTTGCATTATATGTTTATACTCAAACATCATGACGGCAATCTGAGATTTTTAATATTACATCATCTTGAAATGGATTCAGGGTTTTTATTTGTATTAAATTACTTGCCTGTCAGTATCTTCTTGCAATAAAATCCCCCAAAACATTTGCTTTTGTCGTCAGACCAGGCAGTAAAGGCAGTTTCCCAGGAAGCTACTAAACTCAGCTTGGCCTTCTCCAAACCGCCATTACCATCACAACAGGTCAGACTGTGAATTAATGAATTCATTATTGGGATTTCATATGTGAAAAAGCATTATTTAATTCATGTAATGGCATTAATGTTTGTGAAACTGATTTTACTCTGTATGATTTTTGTCTAATATAAAAAAAAGAGAAACGAATGCAACTCGATCACTGTTTCTATTGGCCCAAAAAAAAAAAACTAACTATGAATGAATTAATGGACTAATTGTTCGTTTGTACACTCAGATGCTCTATTCACCCCAAAGCAAGAAACCCGTGAAGGGGATTATAGTTAGAAAATCATTTCTTAGCTCTCAGATAAAAGCACTTCTCTGTTTTGTGTCTGTGCCCATTTCAGGATGGAGAGAAGTTGTCCGAGTCTATCCTGAAGAGCGTCCTGACTCTGTCCACGGTGTATTACTGGCTGCCTAAGAGCCAAGGTAACCCCTCAAACCGCTCCAGACAGTAGTCCATGAGTAATAGGTGTGAAGCTGAGGGGAGTCTGATATCGAGCGTGTCTGTGTTGTGTTTGTGCGTTTCAGGGGTCACTCTGCGCCGGCAGGTCAGAGACGCCACGGTGGAGGTGTTGGAGGGAGTCCAGCAGCTGCTGGAGGTCATTCTGAGCTCGCCGCTTCAGAGGTGCTCACAACACGGTCGCATAAACACAGAATTTTAAATCTCTTTCACACAATCGCTGTTTCCCTTTAATGTGCTGTTAACTGAGCAGGTTAGAGAGGATGATGCCTTGATCCCACTAACAGAAATCCTCAAACATATCAGGGAACCAGAACCAGCTCCTCCCTCAGAGTTAAGGAGTAATAGGACTGAAAACACAGCTTTTCTTTAGAAATGAATGTGTCACTTCATTTGATTTATTACTCAATATACTCATCCGTCTGTAATATTTCAGTCTAATATCAATCTGATCCAATTTAACATCACTGGTCACTTTCATCTTTAGATTTTGTTAGGAGTTTTATTCTTTTTGCTAGTTTTTTTTCCTTTGATTTTGTGGTTTTATAAGTTAAAGTTAGTTTTAAAGGGTATATTATATTTTGTACCCAATTTTGTCATTTAGATTTTTCTCTTTTTTTGCCCTCTGTGTGCTGCTTCTGTCCCCTTTTGAGCTGCCGGAACTTGAATTTCCCAGAAAGGAAGTCTGATCCCACACGAGCATTAGCATTAGCATTAGCGTCTCCTAAGCTACAGGTCTGTGTCCTAACCATTAAGTTGTTATCAGAGTAAATCCCTGTTCAATATGAGTCTGACAACTAAGTAAGTAGGCTAAATAACCTTTAATACCTTTTAATACCTTTGATAAACTTTTAATAAGGCCGGTATTGGTTTCAGATCATAAGTGAAAAAAGCTGAATCGGGACATCCCTAGTCCCAAGACATGTCTAACTAAAAAAAGGAGCCTTTTTTTTCCTCATCCTTTTTAAAGGATGATAAAATGCTCAAAACTAATGTGAAAGTAGAAGAGCGTCACAGACAAAGTCTGCCCTGTTTTGTTTCTCCATCTTTCCCTGCTGGTGTCTTCCAGCCTGAGCCAGGAGCAGCTGACGTCCACGGGGGGGGTGTGGTCTGCCTGCGACCGCTTCGCCCGCATGCCCAGAGGTGGGTGCAGCCGTCCGGATACCCAAACCTTTTCTATTGTGTCCACATTTGAAAAAAAAAAAAAAACTCACAGGAAGAGGCTGAAGCTGGGTTCCTTTTGTGCCCCACAGACAACAAGGCGGCTCTGCTGGTGGTCCTGTCTTCTCAGACCGGAGTCGTAAAAGACGCCATCGAGGAAATCGAGCAGGTAAACACACGCTCTTTACGAATTCCTCCACAAGCTGAAACAGTTCTGCTCTTTTTCCGGGATTTTTCGTAACAAAATTAGCCGTTTCTTACAATTTTTAAGAGCAGAGTAGCTTTGATTGTTTATGGATTTATTTTCTTACCATTAACTCATTGACTGCCCGCCATTTTCAGAACAGAGAGTCCCATACTGCCAGAGTTTTTTTTGCATTTTGACTGATTTTTCAAGAGCCACAGAATAGTTTGTGCTATGACTATGTAAACACCGAACACACCAAAAGAAAGAGTAGACTCTCTTCCTTCATCAGGAAAAAAGATTGTTTCTACCTTATTCCGTTCTTCCTCGACTTGCGTCTCACCGGCGACATGTTCTCTCATAGCGAACCGTTAGCTTTTTCTTATTTGCCTACAGTCTATGCTCATCTCCCATCAAAAGTGGCACTGCCACCTAGAGGGTCAATTTGTTACTACATACTCTGTCTAGAAGCCTGATATTTACGGACAAGCCTTAGCAGATCGTCCCCCAAGCCACTCTCGTTGAAAAACATAAAAGACGTCTATAGACATCTTTGGCAGTCAACGGTTGTATTTGAATTTACGTCTATAGACGTCTTTGGCACCCAATGAGTTAAAAGAGGTCCAGAAAACACAACTCACAACTCATTTACAGGGTAGCCTAGAAGCCGTGACCTTTGCTGAACTTTATACTCAAATGAGCCTTGATACCATCTTTCTTTAAGTTTTTAGTACACAGTAACCAAAGGGCTGCTTATCATTCAGCGGTTTGAGCCTAAAGTAGCTACTGTCTGATTACTCAAGTGTTTACCCAGTCCTAAAGCACACACATATCCATTTTAATTAAGTCTTCATTTATTTTCTTAGCATTAAATGACTAAATTGTTACCATTTTTGATTTGTTTATTACCACCCACAGGCCTTATCTGAGGTCCAGGACCCGTTCAGCGACGTGCTCGACGACGAGGAGGACGGAGACGATCCCCGCGGCAACCAGGACACGTACTGGTCGGAGCGGGACCGGTGCCTGATGGCGCCGTGCCAGGGCCTGATGAAGGCGGCGGCCGCGTGCCTGCGGAAGCTGGCGGCGGCCGTCAGGACCCACGGCGACTGCGGCTCGGCCCAAAACGTGGCCCAGCTGGACGACCTGGCCGACATCAGCCGGGAGGTCAGCCCCAGGTACGCCAGGTTTGATAAAGCCAGCAAAAACCCCCCCGATCGGTGAGCAGGAGCTCTGGTTTCTCAGCCGTAAAGCCGCTTGTAGGAGCCATTTATCCTTTTCATCGCCACCAGGGGACGTATTTCATTTTGATTTATAATAAAGTCGTTTATTGTTTGCATAATGTCCATCGTTGCTATTTCCATTGCAATTCACCTACATTCTGGCATCGAACCTCAGCCTAAAACACAGTAGAAAACTGTCGCCCCTTCTTATCAACAACACAATCATGGTAGACCTTAAATAACCCATCCCCCATTAGACACACAGAACTCAAAATGAAATACGTCCCCTGGTGGCGATAAACACAGAAAAAGGATAAATGGCTCCTACACCGCTTGTGTTTGCTTTGCCCTCAGCCTGGACGACCTGGCCCTCTGCCTCTACCCCCCCATGGACTACAGCGGAGTAGAAACCAACGTACGTATTTCCCTTTTTATCGTTTTATCGTTAAAAAAAGAACTTGTGTTGAGACTTAAGCTGTCACGGTGTTTATAGATTACTGTGTCCAAGCACTTAAGAACAGAGGCTCAAAAATCAGAGTTCCCCAAAAATTTTTATTAGTTAATCTTTCTTTTATTTTCTGCTTATTTAGCCATGGCTGCGTGGAGTTGTGGTGGCTCTAAAGGCAAAATAGACCTGATTGCATCTATCTGTTCATTTTTTTAGGGGGGGTTTGTTTCTGTATCAGAATCAGATCAGAATCAGAAATACTTTAATAATCCCAGAGGGAAATAAAACAACAGCATATACATATATACATGTCTATATATATATATATATATATATACAAAATATAACATATATATATATATATAAATATAAAAAATTCCACACAGAATATAAATAAATATATACATAAGTAGCTATATGTGTGTATGTATATATATATATATATATATATATAGGTCTAAAATAAGTGATAGTGATAATATGAGGGGCTTTTCTGGGCTCCTCTGCCCCACATGAAGTTGACCTGTTCGTGTTAGCGTAGTTTTTTCTCTCCTTTTCTTTTGGTGTGTGTGTGTTTTTGTTTTGTTTTGTCAAATGTCCCGTTGGTCTGTCGGCTTTGGCCAGGAGTTTGTCTTCCTCTCGGTTTGTGTGGACACTCTGGGTTGTGTATTGTTTCGGGGAGAATGACTTAAACGAGCCTCGCGGCGTTCAGGGGAGCTCGTTTCATTCTCCTGACTGAGGAGCTGCGCTGACACGCGTTCGGTTGCACAACCGCGTTTCTCTGGAACCGATCAAACCACTTTCCCTGCTTGTGAAATCAACCTCAGCTTCATGAAAATCACCTGACGTCAGAGACCTGAAAATTTAGGCAGCTGGCGATTGTGTCATTTGCGCTCTGAGACATTTGAAAGTTGTCGTGTTCAGTTGTGAAGGTGAAAAAAAAAAGCCAGCTTGATTTTGGGAGGGCTGGAGGAGCCACCACTCCCCACCAGCCTTAAACAGAGCGGATTAATCATAAATGAGCCTGATTTCTCTGCTCTGTTCAGTTTCTGTGGGCAACTAATCCTGTTCACTTTGTGGCCGAATTCATCCGCTTCCTTTAATATTTCTCTTGATGTTTGTGGAAGTAGCTCTGATTGGTTATAAAAGACAGAAATGAAGATTTTCAGTCATAGGAGCAAATTTTCCACAGTAATTTATTTTCTCAGAGTTTGAAATATGCCAAAACAGGGATGAAAAGATATGGTAATGTGATTTTGACAGCAGGGAAATGTTATTTTGCTGTAAATGTTGTTCACAGCACATGGCAGAGAATCTAATAAAAGGTAAAAAATACCAGAAAAGTCATGTAAAAGTATATTTGCTGTTGGTTTCATCCACTCCGAGATTTTTTTTCTATTTCAAGAAATTAGAGCAGGCTCCTAAAGGCAGATGTTCAAAACTCTGCCAAACATTTGCCAAAGGGGCCGGATGCTTTTGTGCAAAAGAGATTTCAGAGTATCTGACTAGCTTAAAATGTCCCGACTTCACTTAGAATCAAAGTCCTTTTCTTTTTTTCTTCTTTAGGTTTCTAAACTGGCGGCACTTTTAAAGAAATTTCTGGAAATCGTAAGGTAAGACGTTTGGCCTTATCTTCCACCAGTTTGGGACTTTTTCTCAGAAGTTAGTCATGAAAGTGAGAAAGAAATCAAGCGGGGGGGGAAGGGTGTGACACGGGAGGCCATAAGTCATCTCTGTTGCGTCGGCGTTTTCTTTTCGTGGGGTTAAACGAAGGTGAGACACAGCCCTCCTGTTCTGCCGAATTTAATTAGCCTCTCCAGGAAATATCAGCCTGTATCAGGTACATTTTTTCATAGAAATAATCACGAAGCACACTACCAACCAAAACCAAATCTATAGCCGCCTATAGTAACACTATAGTTATTCTTATTTTATTCTTATCTTATCTTAAGTGTCTTGAATAGGAATCAAATAAACACAAAAAATTATTTTTATCACATTTTATATTTTTTCTTTCAAATTGCACTTAACATGTCCACTTCAATATACAAAATTATATACAAAATCTAGTCATGAGGAATTATTACATGATTACGCCACCAGTCACTACTACAGCACATACACTCAAAAATGGCATATTATTTGCAGATAATTCATTCTTTATCAAAAAATCTTTTTAGACCAATTAGGTGAAATAGGATGATTTTCTACGGCACACCTGACCATCACTAGTGTGCCGAGGCACAGTGGTTGAAAAACACTGCTTTAACTGTCTGAGTGGGCTCAAAGTAATCCCCAGAGGAAGCCCCAGGCTCCTCTCTGGCCATTTGACCCCCAGCAGCGTCTTTACGGCCTGCAGAACAACACCTCAGCATGACGCTGCCACCACCGTGCATTAGGGTTGTCACGATACTAACATTTTCAACTCGATACCGATACTCAGGAAAATACTCGATACCATTTTCGATACCACAAGGATAAAAACAAAGACCCCAAAATTTAACAGAATTTTGACGGTTTAGTGTCTTTCATTTCAAACTGACCCGTTACTGATCTGATCGTGGCCCACATGAATAACCCTAACCCTGACCTCAACCCTAACCCTAACCCTAATCCTGACCCTAACCCTGACCCTAACCCTAACCCTGACCCTGACCCTGACCCTCCAGCCTTCATAATTGTGAGAAATAAATATTTTTTGGTTAAACTTGTTTAGACTTATTGTACAAACCTATTTAACATCCACTATTTTTTTAACATAATATCATGTATAGAGTTTAATTAAGTGTTTTAAAGATTAATTTCACTATTTTTAAATGAATGTCTATATTGCCATGAAGCAATTAGGATTTTCTTTTCTTCCTATGGGTGATGTAATCAAAATGGCCGACTTCGATGTGGGCGGAGATGGATATGTACTTGACTAATGGTAGCATGTTATTATTAGCCATTAGCCGCAGCTAGCAGTTCATGGCTAACGTCTTGTAAGTGATCATAAACAACATAAATAAAAACATAAATAAATCTGAGAGAAGGGGGCAGTGGTATCGATACTTTTGAGAATGAGTATCGTATCCGAATACAACATTTTAGTATCGATACTTTTTTGAGTATCGATACTTTTGACAACCCTACCGTGCACACCCGGATAGCATCTCGAGTCCTGGTTTTGATGGAAGAAACTCAGCTCGGGGCGGTTCTTTTATTTATTTATTTTTCACAGGGTGGGTCAAATGTTTGTTTTTATGTTTGACAAGATGGGTTTTAAGTTCATTTAAAGACTCAAGCCCCCCCCACCGTCTCTCTCTCTCTCACTCTCTCTCTCTCTCCCTGCAGGTCCAGTCACACGTGTGGAGAGTCAGAGCTGACCTGGGTTCAGTTCTTGGAGGGCGCGGTCAGCCACAACCTGCAGAAGGCCGCAGATCTCATCCAGCAGGACGGATAACGCCTGCGCGCCGTCGGGGGGGCAAAAGGGACGGCTGGATGTGTCCAAAAACACCCCGAAGGACTTTTCCACCTTCCTCTGGAACAGTTGAGTCTACCACAAAGGAGGCCGGTCTTTAAGTATCCTCTTTAAGTGTCCGATTAACGGAAAAACCAGGAAAAAAGAGGCCAGACCTCGATAGACTCACA